GATTTGTCAATTGTTCGGCATCAACTAAACTTGGTGCAATATCGTGGCGCGAAATTCGGGTGGAAGAGTGTTATCCATCACACTATCCATACTATAAAGATCACATTCATGGAAAAGGATGGAGAGTGGTTTGCGATGAGGTTGATGAAATTATACGCCTCGTTGTGAAATCTATCAATGTATCCCTATCCCACAATCGGCCATCCTGAATATTCATTCGCCCCTGAATGAACCCCATTTTTATACCCGTTACTCGTAGAGTAAAAGGGTATATTGTATTCGTGCAAAAGTATGTAACAGGTAGAAGGAAGCGTTTCCGACCCTATAAAGTATATATGTTCTTGATCAGGGTCACTAGCCGAGTCGATATAGCCATGTCCGTCTGTCCGTCCGTATGAACGCTGAGATCTCAGAAACTATAAAAGCTAGAAGATTGGCATTTTGCATGCAGATTCTAGGAGTTCCTACGCAGCGCAAGTTTGTTTCAAAAAGGTGCCACGCCCCCTTTAACGCCCACAATCGCTTATATACGATTTTAAAAATTTAAATATTTCGGAAAAGTAAAAATGCAGTTTTATTGTGTTTATCAATACCTATCGAAATGTAGAAGAAATTTTTCAAATCGGACCATTCGTTAAAAAGTTATGCGTGATCAAAGTTTCTATCTCCATCTCCCTCGCACTCCCTTTACCTGAGTAACGGGTATCTGATAGTCGGGGCACCCGACTATAGCGTTCTCTCTTGTTTCATATATTCTGCAGCTGTTGTAGCTAGTTTCGATCCCTCCTGGTTGCCTTCTTTCTGAACTTCATAGCGCCCATGATTACGAAGTTTCATCCCAGTTCCATACTGTGTCCTTTTAATTGCTACTAATTCTCCTACAGTATAATCAGTTTCAACCTTTCTTTTCTCATTAAAGTTCTTTCGGTTCTCTTGCTGCGCTTTCTCAATATTTTCCTGAGCTTTTTCACGTATTTCTTCTCGCTCATTACTTATCTCTTCTATACCTAAGTCTTCAAAAAGTTTTCTCAAATAATCATCTTTCTTTCGCATATCTAATCCTGTTCTGTTTATTATCTGTTTAACTCTGTCTACGTGCCGATACCAATTTGCTGGGCTTTCTTGGCAAATCTTGCTCAACATCTGGATCACAATTTTGTGGATTCTTTCCACCTGACCGTTGCCCCTAGGCATGCCTGTGGTGATGTGAAGTAGTTGAATTCCTTCGCGGCTGGATTACTCCTTGAACAGTCCAGAAGTGAATGCAGTTCCCCTGTCAGTAACTATGCTTACATACATACACACATACGCCATTGTTTGACTCAGACCTCCAATTTGGCTAACTTGATTTGATTTGCATAGTTCTTGGGATATAGTTCGGTATTGACAAACGAAAACCATCGCAATTTCCTTTAATAGAAATCCTTATCGAGAATTAACATTGGCTCTGTTGAGCACCTTGGCCAGCTGTTCCAAAGTCATCCGTTAAATGGCGCCATGAAAGGCGGAAATGTAGGCGCTAGCCAGGCTTAAGCGTTTAATGGGTTTTTGGGCGTTAGAGTGGGCGTGGCAAACTTTTATTAGGCCAATTGATATTTATTGACGAAACAAATACATATCAATTAAAATTTTCATAATATCATCAAAACTGTGGCCACAGCTTTTGGCTTGTGGGCGTCAGAGGGGGCGTGTCACCATTTTGAAACAAACTTGCGCTGCGTAGGAACTCCTAAAATCTACATGGAAAATGCCAATCTTCTAGCTTTTATAGTTTCCGAGATCTCAGCGTTCATACGGACAGACGGACAGACGGACATGGCTAGATCGACTCGGCTAGTGATCCTGAACAAGAATATATATACTTTATAAGGTCGGAATACTCAGAGATATATGTTTGCCATTTCAGAAATACAGTTTTAGTTTTATAAGAATTGGGCGAAAATGGGAAATACAATTATAGCTTCGATATTTCCGCACATATACCCATACTCTGAGATAAAGTAATTTTTAAGGATTTTAGAATTATAGAATGATTAAAAAAATTATCTGTAAATCGACTAAGCTTCATTGTTTTTAAGTAAGTATATGTAATATTCTTGCTTCCTTTCATTTTAAAACTTGTTCCATCAGTCGAACGTTCATGCTTTTTTATCGGTACTAAAACCGCGTACAAAGACAAAAGCAAAAGCACAATTTGGGTGTAATATAAATAAATATATAAATATTGACAAATCTTACCAAAATAAGTTTATTTAAAAATAATTAAATATTAATATATTTCGTCTTTAAAAAAACCTTACAAATCAAAACCAAAATACATCGGAATTCAATTTGTTTCTTCATTCGTAATTTGAGACCATTTATCGAAAACAAATCCCCTTGGATCTATGTTAAACTTTAGCCAATATATACCAGATCGATCCTCTTTATTTACTCAAAATACTTTTTGTGACTACTACTCCGTTCGAAAATAGGTGGAAAATCTTTTAATTTCTAGTGGATTTTGTAGTTATGGTTGTATATGACAATTTTCCCAAAATAATAGCATTCTAAGTAAATAACTTAAGAATCCTTCTTTTGAAGAGTGTTGGGTCGGAATGTTGTACTCGACAATTATTTGATTCAAAGGTGTTCTGTACTTAGGATTCAAAGGTTTTTCTTTTGCAAAGTAATTTAGGCTTCTTACCAACTACAGTATAATTTTATATTGTTCCTATGGTAAATCCTATATGATTAATTTACAACAAACTGAGATTATTAGAGTCCTACAAAATCTTAAAATTAAGATTTTAATTTGCTTATTCATTACCAAATTACTATCTATCTTAGATATTAAGGTTTGACTTTAATTTTATTTCATTACACTTTACATGAATGTATACAATGTATATAATAGAATTTTTAAGATATCTTCTTTTAAGGAAAATGTCTTCTGCAATAATACCTGTGACATTTTCACTGTTTTCTAAAATACATAGCAGTTTTTTTTAGTGTGTAAGTTTTGGTTTTCCAATTGTCAAGTCAAGTGGTCCTTTAACAGAAATTTAAACCAAAAATTTAATATCAAATTTTGTGACGAAAAATGATTAAAGACTCGGATAGATTAATACACTTTCAAAAATTGTATCACTCGACATTATGCATTACATTTCGCACGAAAACGCCTGAATATTGAATAATTGCCCTAAGAATATAGGGAAAGCCACTTCTGATAATATTGCCCAATTTTTCCTATTTAATGGCGAGTTTTCGTAAATTTATGGCAATTATTTTTTAAGTGCATGTAATTTGTCTTATACTCTTAGCTATTTTCCTTTTTTTATTAAAAAAAATCATGTTTGCACATGCCTCCACAGGGTTGCAACCAATCCTTTCTAAAAACAAGAGAGAACGCTATAGTCGGGTGCCCCGACTATCAGATACCCGTTACTCAGGTAAAGGGAGTGCGAGGGAGATGGAGATAGAAACTTTGATCACGCATAACTTTTTAACGAATGGTCCGATTTGAAAAATTTCTTCTACATTTCGATAGGTATTGATAAACACAATAAAACTGCATTTTTACTTTTCCGAAATATTTAAATTTTTAAAATCGTATATAAGCGATTGTGGGCGTTAAAGGGGGCGTGGCACCTTTTTGAAACAAACTTGCGCTGCGTAGGAACTCCTAGAATCTGCATGCAAAATGCCAATCTTCTAGCTTTTATAGTTTCCGAGATCTCAGCGTTCATACGGACAGACAGACGGACAGACAGACGGACAGACGGACATGGCTATATCGACTCGGCTAGTAACCCTGATCAAGAATATATATACTTTATAGGGTAGGAAACGCTTCCTTCTACCTGTTACATACTTTTGCACGAATACAATATACCCTTTTACTCTACGAGTAACGGGTATAACAACATAATTTTTCTTGTACTGTTCCTATTATTAAACTTATTTAACTTTTAACATACATTTTTACATTCATGTGTAGGACAGTAGATACTGAAAATGATAAATAAACTACAAAAGGGGAAATAAATACAATGATCAAACAATTTACTTTTTTGAGAAAACTTTTTTGTTTGTTTTGGCGGAATTGAACAAGCGAACTCTCGGCTTGTAGTCAAACAAAATGTTCAATATCCTATTCTTTTGTAGTCTAAGTTGCATTCTTACCAAAGACAACAAAGTTTGAAGTTTAAGCATAAGCGATAAGAATATTTACAAAAAAAAAATTGTTTCCCAATAAGACCAACAGTTTTTTTCTGAATTAATTATATTTGTTTCGTAAATTATAAAATAAAATAATAACAATAACACATGACTTTCTACATTTAATTTTTACTAATTATGAATAATAAGCTCAATTTTTGTTTTTTGATTTAATACAATTTTAGATGCCTATTAACCTATTGTTAAATGAAAATTATTTTATGTTCTGTGAGAACGACTTCTTTATTTGTTTGTGGTAAAAGGGGAATCCCAAGGACAATACAAAGGACTTGATTCATATAAATATTTATATAACAAGAACACATCTAGTCTTTGAGCCGTTTTGTAAAATTTTTACTTTCACTATGCACACTTCTTAGTTAAAGCTGTAGCACTCGATCAGTGTATCATTTTTTTCGTATAATTATCTTTCATCTCCGACCTGATGTTTATTAGCAACAAGTTAGATGAGCTAAAAGTTTTCGAACTCTAACAAAAAGGGGAAACTTCCCCCTAACAAAGAAGTTTCCCCTCCTGAAGGGGAAAGTGTCTCAAAGGATTTTCCCGCTCCAGCAGACCGCAAAAGCCATGCGCCCGCTCCCTAAAGTCCTCAGCGCTCTCTCGATTAGTTCGCCGCACGCCCGTCTGGCGCTGCAGTCACCGGGAGTCGAGAGTCGGCTAAATCCGAGCGAAGTTGGCCGAGAAGAACGAACGGCATCCAGTGGCCTGGGCCTCTTTTCGGCTGGCTGAAGTGGCGATTTCCATGTCAGTTCACGTTCGATATTTGTGTTGTTTGGTAGCGGTAATCGGGCGACCGTTCAAACGCTTAAGCAAACGAACCGAGCGCGTCGTGTTTTTTCCCAAAAATCGTTCTGAAAAATACCACCCATCGTGTGGGTGTGCGATTTGGCTAGGATGTGTGGCTGTGTGCGCGATGAAGTTGTTGCATTGACAAGGCGCGACCAAAAACAACGCCCCGAAAAGTAGGCAAGCGGATATATCTGAACTTCCCGAGACTTTAAGAAGATAAAAGCAGTCGGAGCGCCGAAAATCGCAAGAAGCCAACTAATTTAAGTGAATGTGCCAGTGTGTGTGCCCGTGCTCGAGTGTGCGTGTGTGAGAGGCGCCAACTTGACCCGGCAGAAAAATAGAAATAAATAGTCAGCCAAATGGCAGCAGGAAAGCACAAAAAGTGAGAAGCATATCCCGGCGAAAGAAATATTAAAGAAAATTAAAGTTTCCGCCCGAGCCAAAAGCCTTGGTGTGAAAGGTTAGTGAAGTGAGACGAGAAAGAAAAACCATTCCCGAAGAAAGTAAATTTTGCAAATCAAAGTCAAGCACTTGGATCCGGTCTGGACTATTAAACGGTAATTGAGTCATAAATCAAGGCATAATTAAAGCAGGTCACTTCGCCACGCGAGATTAAACTTGAAATGGGCTTTCATTCGCGATGAAAGTTGGCACTCCCGGAAAAAACTCAGAATCAAACTTCAAACCGACCCAATCCATCATGCAATGCCTCTCGAAAAAACTTTGGAATAACATAGACCATGAGGGCCTTCCACTGATTGATTAGTTGTCGACTTGCGGGCACGCACAAGTCAAGTGTTTTGCCCAAGAATATTCTGCTCGATTGGCGCATTTCTTTATTCGATGGCTCTTGTTCTCTGTCAGTCAGACAAACGTCCTCACACTCTCGAGGTTCAACATTTGACATGAGTAGCGCAATTAGTCCATAAATCGGATTGTGATCGCGACCTGACAATGAACCCTGTCAGTCATTAGAGTTCAATTGTTTTGTGTTCGGTGCTTTGTGAATTTGCACTTCTGGCGGGCACTTTTTGTCCCAATTCAGTTCTTTTCATGGTATTTCGTTGCGCCAAATGTAATTGATTATTAATAATCCATTAAATTTTGCACTCTGTGAGTTTGAAGAACTGTGGAAAACAAAAATTCAGCAGGGCGTGATTTAGGTCTAAGAAAGACTAAAAAATGTATTGATTTATGTGACATAAGTAATTGTGATTTAGAACTTCAGAACTTAATAATTGAGAGGTAACTTTCTTTTTAGTGAAAAAGCACATGAAAAAAAGAATTTCTATATAAATATATATATACTATTTGGTGTATTAATTAAAAAATTTAAAATCTTCTAAGTCTGGAAAATATATTTGACAGTTTTAATTTTAAATTTCATATTTTTTTGATTCTAAAAACTCTAACCATAATATTCGGATCTAATAATTTCATCTCTTTGATTATACACAATATGTATGCACATTATTTAAAAGATTGATAAAATGCACAAAATCCTGAAAACAGAAAGGCTATATGAGCATATATATCAGTTTCAACTCTTTTAGTGATCAAAAACCAGGAAACGTGAAAAGTAAGCGTCTGTAATCAGATTCTCATTCGATGAAGTATTATTCAAATGTTTGGCAATTTGTCCGCCTCGTATTCATTAAGTTGCTGAGCAAAGAAAAATATCATGGAGCTTTTCCCAAAGGGAAATTAACTTTTCTCGGCGCATGTTCGCCTAGCCCCCGCACTTGACTTTTAATTAAATATTAATTTTGATGAGAAAATAATACGCGCACATTAGCGCAGTGACCACCACCAGGGGCGATGACCAATGTAATTATTTGCCAGGACCGGAAGTGCTCACTTCGTGCATAGCTTTGAGTAGGTCCAGTAGGTGTTGCTTAGTCGCTGTGATTAATAATGCTTAATTGCAAGTATTTGCGCTGCCGAGGATAGAACTCCCCGAGCTGCGACGAGGGCTTCCCCTTTTTGATTGATTACCACATTTTGTTGACTAATACCGGGCTGCCTTGGATAAGTTTGGGGTATCCTTGAGTCTGAACTCGGAGGATTACCAGGGGGCTTAGCAGGGCGGCCACGAGTTTGAGGCGGCCACGTTGCGGCACTTGAAAGCTAATCAACAATTAATGAGCAATTAATATGCAAAATTTGGCACAGTAGATGGCGGGAACAGGCGAAGGGCTGGCCATGTGCAATCGGGCATCATTTAAATGCATAAATTAATAAGCGCTCACTCGACGCGCGCTTCCCAGATGAGGCAGTCGCTCATTAAGCACACACACGTCATGCGGGGTATATGAAATTGGCATGAATCAATTGATGAAGTCCAAATTAAAAGCGAAATCAACCCGAAAATACTGCGTTCTGTTAATTATTATGCATGCCAGCTTTCGGGCATAAAATTAAAAAGTTTTTTGCTCTGGCGGTACCAATAAAGCAAATGGAACTTTAACCATTTGCAAACATAATCAAATATTCGGCGCCATCGAAGGATGAATTTTTCTTTTGTTAGTGCCCTGAAAAATGGATAAGGTTTATTAAATGGCAACTGCAGCACAATGATTTATTCATTTACTTCACATGAATTGATATGTGTAAAGCAAACAAACAAGTAATTGTATGTGTCATTAAAATTATAGTGCACGGTGAAAAATGTACCAAATGCGTAAAAATATATTGTTTCTATAAAAGAGCAATTAATTTTTAATGCCAAACAAAACACATTAAACAACGAAACGCCGCAGTAGGCAAACAGAATCCATTTTAAATACTTCATGCAGACGAAGCCTAACTATTTACATTTTCCGCCTGGGGAATAATAAAGTGAGCATTTCGGGAGCAGTTGGCTACAAACATTTCAGTTTCCGCAAATGCTCGGTAAACTGTGCCGATAAGAAGGAAAATTATTCGTAAGCCCCAATGTTGCCTGGCAATTGCAGTAATAATATGTCACGAATCCGTGCAGCTAAACATAAAATAATGGCAGCCATAAATCATGGACATTGGCCTTGTCAAATGGCAAGAGTTTGATATATTTGCGGCTGGCGAACGCCAAAACTACACGCAATCGGAATTCCAACTAAGCCCTCAATTGAAGTTATTTGAATAATAGTCTGGCCAAAGTAAACTTGAGCAGCCAAACAGGCATTAATTCAAGCCCGAATTCGTTGGATGTTCTGTGACTTGGTGTGCAGTGGTTGTTCATTTGTACTGCTTAGGATGAGTTTCGTGGATAAAAAAGTTTTTAAAATGATTATTTTCATAAAAACAAATTGTTTAAGCTTTTAAAAAATATATATTTTAAGCCTCAACTTACTTAAAACTAATTCAAGTTAATTCCATCTATTTTAAAAGTTGAATACATTTTTTTTTACATTTATTTTTAGTACATTATAATTTTTGATTTAGTTCTTGCTTATGTCTAATTGCATGGTACTTTCATGCTGTTTTTAGATAACCTATTTTTATATTCTTAACAAGAATCAGCGTTTGTCCAGAGATTGGTTTTGTTGTAGTTATTAGTAAACAAATTTTCTAGCTTAGCATTGAATTTTAATGAGTGCTGGAAACGCAAAACTGATTTTTATAGAAAAGGCAATCTTCGCTAGGGTATATAAAAATGATTGTTTATATTGGGGAGAAACTCCTTGTTGTTTTTCTATTATTCAGGTTGTTTTAGCTTAACATCTCTCCCTGGTAATTCCCATCTTTTGCTTGTCTTGGCTTCACAAAAATACTTTATAATTAGGCTAATTTAAAATTCCTTTTCGCCCCAAGCTAATTTGCAACGCATTGCGTGCTAAGAGGACCGTATTTTCGCCGCATTGTTTTCCGTGATTGTATAAAACTTCAGGCCTGGCTTTCCCTATTCAACACGGGCATAATTAAATCAAATGGAGGCACACGTTGTCTAGCAAAAGCAGAAAAAATCACAAAACAAGGAAAAAAACAGAAGCGAATGTAAAGTTTTGATGAAATCGGCTCTCCGCTTTCCGGGCATTCATTATATTGTTTTGCTTTGGTTCTCCTTTCATTTCCACGATGAGGGCAATTAGCAAAGTTTTTCCAGCGATGGCAAACAAAGTGAAGCATTCTTTTGCGCGGGGCTGCTGTCGCATGCATAGTTTTTGTGGGGAGCGAGAGGATCTGCCATGTAATTGAATATTAATCATACGCCACCCACGCCCATTACTCACCGGGGCGGGCGGGCATTTGCATGGCCGGCTGGACAGGTGAACGAGAGTCCCTGCCGAGAATCGAATGCAAGCAGTGAAAACAAAATAAAAATGCCTTGTATGTTTGTACGCCGCCAGCAAGCCAGCAACATTTATTTAAGCAACAACAATGACAACAAGGACTCCACGTGTCTGGAACTGAAAAGTCCACCCACGAGAACCTCTGCCGGGCACCTGGCATTGCATGCAAGGCCATAAATAAATTTGCTCATATTTCAGCACATGAACAATAATTAAATTCGTTTATATGGCACATGGGGCCGGCTAACCGTTCGTCCTGCTCTTTTTACCACTATTTTTCAACCAGCCTTGGCCATCATCTTTGTAGTTTTTGTGCTGACTGTTGACACCCGTAATGGAATGAATGCTGATGCTGCAGCCCAATTAATTGTTTTTCCCGCCTGTGCTGCATTAAATTTATTCTGCAGTTATTACACCCAGCGATTGGGAGACTAGCAAAAAACACTTATGGGTGCAAATAAAACCAAGGTTTATGAGGGACACACACCAGCTGTAATGAAACCGAATTCGCTTTTTCACATTGAAAAAATCGAAAATTAATTAAGGATTTATTTTGGCCTCTTTCTGGCGGTTCCTTTTAATGGCTTTCCTGTTCGTTTGATGACTTTGGATATTCAATGCTTTTAATATGAATAATATCGAACAAATGGATTACCAAAGAGTTACGAATACCCATGATTCGATCGGCTTTATGGATATTTATTACTGAGCATGTTTTTTTTGAGCTTGTGTTACCGAAGAACGGTTTACGACTTGCCAAATTTAATTACCTTATTTTTTTTTATTCAATAATTTACGGCATTTAACTTTTTACATTCATTACCAATTTCTCATTAAAATTGGGCAATTTAAGCCAATGTTGCAAATTGCAGCTTCCCATTTATGATCCCGCAGCATTGCTTTGACCTTTTATTTTTCCATTGCGTAAACCAAGGCGAATATAAATTGTATTGTGGCTGCAATTAAATGAGCAATTCGTTTTCCCCTGCAAACCGAAAAAATACGATTCCACCCAAAACATGTGATAAATGTATCTGCGATGGATTTTTCAATTATAATTATAAAAATACATCTATAGTAAAATATATAAAAAAGCACATCAGGTCTGAAAAATATTGATTTAAATGTGAGAAGCAAATTAAATTTGCATGTATTAAGAATGAGCCACATGCGCCAGCCGCGTTGATAAGTTTTAAATTTCTGACAAGTTGTCGAGGGACGAATCATCGCCAAGGGGCTCGTTATGCTCTGTGAAAGTCAAGCGCTTCATTCAAATCCGCCGAAGG